CCCCCCCCCCCTCCCCCGCGAATTCATGAAAACTGGAAACTTTTCAAGCGCGGGAAGGGTGGCTAGTATCTTGGCTCTCGAGTTTCAGTTCCGCGCCTTTGAGGAATTTGGCGGGTGGAGCCCGTGTTCTCATTGTCGGGGTTACTTTGATTTTCCAGTAATTTCCTCGTTAAACTTCTTCCCTCTCATTTTCGTTTTCCGAAAGGCGCCCCGGTCAGAAAAGTTTATCACCCCCACCTCCTTATCTCAATGGAATTTCAAAGCGCGGGAATTCCGATTCGACCGCTCGCCACCGACGAATAATATTCATTGTTCGCGTTGGAAAGTTTATTCCGATCCCTCGCGATTTTATAACTTATTATATATATTTATATATTCATATATTCGTATATTCGTATATTCGTATTTTCATGTATTTGTATATTTATTTGTCTGTAGATTCATATATTAATGTGTTCATGTACTTACACATATATTTGTATGTCTATGCATTGATATGTTGATGTATCTGTATATTTATATATTTATATTTCTTTGGTTTATTCTTTTTAATATACAGACAACATTATTTTTCATGTTTAACAGACTGTAAATGTATTTTGAAATGATCTCATTGAATACTTATTGCTACAGGTAGTAGAACGATGAAAATAGGTGTTCGAATTTCATGAAAACTTTGATATTAGACAAACTTGAATGTTGTTCAGTCACGAACCAGCTATAAATCATCTTAAATGAAGAACAGTTCTGAATATGGATCGCGACTAAAAGAACGAAAGATGTATGTACCTGCTTAATCCTGATTTACTGGAGAAAAATGAAACGGTTGTTCTTGATTTTTCTTATTTTGTCATATTAATATTCATTATTTATGTAAATGTATTCAAGTACGGGAAAATTATACTATAGGTACTATACAAATTTTCAGTTTTATCGAAGAAACGTTCGGACAGTAAAACAAAATTTCTATCAATGAATTTTTCATTATGATTTCTTTAAGATTAATATTAAGTTTTTGAATCTACTATAACAGTAGTGAAATTGATACAGTAACACCAGTGCTCAGAATAGAATTAAAATCATGTGACACGGTTTCCTCAGTACGATCCTTAAAAAGTTTGCCGAATTCCGCCACATACATTCTGAGACACCCGTTATATATAATGGACCAGATCAGGTTCAAAGCATCTCATTATAGCGCCTACTAAAAGTTTGATGCACCGAGAAATATATAGTTTCAGTGAAAATAATCATCTTTGCCCTGCAATTTACAAACATACGATTTTGTCCCAATTATTTCATCAACCGTAATATTGGACCCCTTGACGCATACAATACTTTTTTTCACCATATCGTTGTAGCACTAAAAAGAACATCAAAAATATTTCGAATGGTCACGTTATCTGAGACACCCTATATATCGGGAAATAATTCCGTAGACTTACCTTACAAAGCAAGTTGTAATCTTATCGTAAGTGTTTTGCACAAAAGAAGTTTTGCGACCTGTTAACCGGATAATTTTTCGATCCAAGGAGCATAATCCTAAATCCTAAGAACTTATTACCAATTGCAAATTATTACGACACATTCAATGATAACTAGATAAATAGATCAGAATCCGAAAGGCTACTGAAAGTTCGTGTCAAATCTAGTCGACGAGTTAACTCTGGCTAGGTCAATCGTGACCCATAATGACATCTTGAAATATTAATTTTGTTATTATCGTTAGGGTCTCCGATGACTCGGCCACAGGCACATGAGGGTTAACCGCTCAATGTGACGTATACGTCACGTCTAGAAAATCATATTTCCAGTGGTATTGTCGTGAAAGTACAGACGAGGTGCACATATTGGGACCATGTTTGAGTTAACTAATCGTGAGAAATAATTTTTCTCCCTAGAAGAGGTGTTTGGCCGCTGAAAGGTTAAAAATAAATGTTAGAAAAAGTAAAAAAATAGGTTGATTTAATATCGATATCTTCAATTTAAAAATAACATAATGCAACATATATATCGGTCTCATAATTTTTAAATAATGGTTTAAGGGTCTGGTCGTTAAAGGGTTAACAAGGTTTAACCCCTGAAATGTACCCAAACTTATGGAAGACGTTGTACTCCGTCCGATCGCGATCGGATTTCCCATCCAATTAACGGCCACCGATACAGATTTCGCGTTCTCCACCCGAGGAAAACAAGCATCCAAGTTGATTCTAATAAAATCAGCCGGTGTTAGAGAGGCATGCGCCCTACGTGCGCGAACTCCTCTGTCTACGGTACGGGGGCAGCGAATTTCAACCCTCAGTCTGGCGCCGCGTGCGACCGCGAGTCGAGCACGCCGCTCTGCCGCCCGAGAACGCCTCGAAACACGTTCTCCAATTCGCGCGCGTTCACCCTCGTTACCAAATAACTCTTTAAAATGAATGACAATCAGAGCAAAGTCCGATGATCCTGGGCTAGAGTTGCAATTACCAGGTGGTGACACCACCTGGACTGATGCTTTCGATAGTCTAGATCCGTCTAGAATTGCATCGTAGTCAAGTGTGATTAGCTCCGGAGATGAACGTTCCAAACGAGACCAGTTGGTCCGCTCCGTTGAATCCTTCGATCAGCCAGAAAGTGCGCTTGGAGGTTCATAGGTCCCAAAGGTTCCCCGATATCTCGGTGGTATCGTGTGTCGACAGTCGGTTAGCGTCAGCCACGTAAGGCGTCATAAATACCGCGGGAAAATGTGACAGGTTCGCGCAGTAGTGGTGGCGTGAAGACGCTGTGAACCCCACTGTGTTGCTGGGAGAATGCGGAAGTCGATGATCGGGCCATGCTTGGTCGTCATGACGTGACCGGGCGAGGACCCTTATAGAGGACCCCCAGTCGCCCTCGTCGAAGACAGAGATCTTAAGATGACCGTCCTCTCGTGTGGCTGGTACGTCCTCGTTCTGCTCACGTGCACGCGCAGCCAGGCGCTGGCTGAGTTAGGGGATCAGGAGCCGCAGATCGAGAGGCCGAAGGAGCTGCTGCGACATCAGCAGACCCATCGACCGTCGTTCATCGAACGGAAACTCGAGATCCGTGAGGCTACCGAGCCCCCTTTATACCTGGAGGAGAATTTAGACGATGGGTTCTCCAGCTTGGAGGATCAGCTGGCCCGCAAGGGTAAGCTCGAGACCAGCATCGAGAAGCCTGCCACCCAGATCAGGCACAGTAGATCGAGGAACCACTTCCCAAGACAGACCAGGCTGGACGATCCCGACCTGTTGTACTTTACTGGGACCAGCAAAAGGGCCCAGCTGACCGACAACGGGTCCCAGACCGAGGATGCTTCTAGAATCTCCAGAGGCAAGAGCCAAAGGCCCGACGAATCCTCTGGACAAGACCTTAGGTCCAGCGGCACGATCGACGAACGATCCACCGTTGATTTGGACAAGCTACTCACCAGGCTATCAGAGGCTGGCTCCGACCGCAGAAAAGACGGGAAATCTCGGAACTCCCCGCCAGTTCGTCACAGGAACAATTCGTTTAATAAATTGAAGAAGGTGATTGCTAGAAATCGGTCCAGGGTGTACGGCAATAGGACTGCTGGGAATTTGACCGAGATCTACGGTCGTATTGTTCATGGGACGCCAAGTGGGGACAGGAACGAGTTGGACGACGTGGAGATCGGTATGCTGGAGGACTACGACCTGTACAATGATAACGAAAGTGGTAGGAACGGTTCGGAACAGGAGGAGGATTACGAGGATTACGGGAAGGCGATCGTGGAGCACGGCAAGCCCAACAAGGAGGGTGTCCACGTGGACATCGTGACGAGGTTCCTTCGTATCATCGAGAATCAGCATCTTTTAGGTGAAAATTGCACCGCTGGGACCGATCTGAACCTGGGCGAAGGGGTCGTCGATCAGTACGCCCAGGAGAAGTTTAGGTTGGAGGCGAACCTAGCGGTGAACAGGGCCAATATGCTGACCAGGCTCTGGAAGTATGCGCCAGAAGTGATGCTGTCTTCTGAATATCTTCTTCATGCCAGTATTCTGTCGATGGTCGAGTTCGACGAGGACATATTCGCCGCTGGGAACTGCTACGACAAGCTACAGTACAAGGACCGATGGCTCTATTGCCCGTTCGCGCATCGTCTTCAGGATCAGGACGGGATACTCGTCAAGGATCTGGCGATCGAGTACAAGTATCTCAGCAACAGCAGCGAGTGGTTTTACATCGCCAGGAAGAACGCCGAACGGGTGATCGCGAACAACGATCAGTTCAGCCGCGGTGAGTACTGGTTCAGGGCGCTAAGTGGGCAAGAATTGGGATTTCCCTATTTGGCGATTTTGGAATATTCTGTATCCCTTTACTGTTTTACGACCCTTGTGCCTTTTGGTAGTTTTTACCTAGTGGTTTCTGTTCAATTCGATGAAATTCTAACCATGTACAGTAAATCCTCGATGAGTGTTCTAAGGCTCCTCGACACTGAGCATTAAATATTTTATTAATTAATGGCCTTTTATTAATAAATATGTATTTAATATTGGAAGCAAAATCATTTTTCTCAATATAAAATAAATTACGGAGACGACTAATTTCGGATGCGTGAAACCATGTATGAAAATTATTTTAATTTTTTTTAAACATTCTTTTCAGACTTTCAGTATTTATTTACTATTGCCTAAATATTAAACTCATACTTTTAAAATATTTCTTTTATATTCTATGAATATTTAGTTTATATTTTTTAAACATTTATTTTATATTTCCTGTATACGTATCCAATATTTGGATTCAATATTTATTTCATATTAAAAAGTGTGGCTGAAAAAATATTTTTTCAATGTTTGAAACACATATTTAACTAATATTTTTGTGCTACTAGATTACAGTTCAAAATACTTTTCGTTGCATGGTCAAAAATGGCCGAAGAATATTGAGTTGCGTTACATGGGACATAATGTATATGCTGCGGTGTTTAGCAAAGGGGATGGCGGGGCTGTAGAACCGCACGAATTTACGGACCGCGCCGTTTGAATTACGCACTTTCGACGGGGAACGTTTTCCGTCGTTGTGCGAGCATCTATGAATAGCATCCGTCGACGTGATAATTTCCGCGCGGTACGTGGCCGTGTGCCGGAGACGAATATTTCTGTTCCCGTATCGTTCTATTAGAAATGCACATTAAGTCGTGGACGCGCTCGCGCGTAATTCCGTTTTCCACGCGGTATGAATTTTGTAATATAATAACGTCATGTTGAGGGGAATTTTTTTCTTTTTTTTTTTTTTTTGATAAATTTGTAGTGCTTGTTGCGTTGTTGAATAAGAAACGGCGAGAGTGGGTTAAAAGAGAGGTTTCAATGTTTCTGTCTTAGTAGAGTGTACTTAGAATGAGTACATGGAGTGTTGGACGTAAGTGTCGAGTACTATGTATATATCAGTGTATTTGGTGTAATTGACTGGGCTTCGGTATATTCAGTATACTTACTCTGTTTATTTTAGTGTATTCAGGTATATTTTAGTATTCTGTATATTTTAATATATTTCAATATCTTTCAGTATATTTCAGTATATTTCAGTATATTTCAGTATATTTCAGTATATTTCAGTATATTTCAGTGTATTTCAGTATATATTTTAGTATACTTCAGTATATTTCAATATATATTTGAGTATATTTCAGTATATTTCACTGTCGAAGAGTTCCGAATATTTCAGTACATTGATAAACAATTCAGAATGAAAAACATATTTAAAAAATTTTTACAAAAAAAACATGGTCATATGGTGGATACTTTTTGCATCTACATTTCATTTTATGCACTGGTCTCTGTTTTAATTTCCCTCGTATTTTTCTATATCATTTTTATTTGCACGTGTGATACATTTTTGTCGCTCTATTATTATTATTGTTAACCAAAATAAATTCGACAATAATATTTCTTTGTACAATTACGAAAGGTATCACAAAAAAGACAGATAATGCCGGAAAAAATGAAAAAATATATATTTTCAATTGAACCAACCCCTCGATCGATAAAACAGATTTGTCCTTGACCCCGATTTCAATGAAACAGGTTTCGGAAAATGAAAATACGTCTAAATATTGAAGCATGTGCTAATGAGAAATCTGAAAAGAAACCATGTATCGTCGTAACATAATTACAAAAAAATAAAAAGTCGCGATCAACCCAATAATTTTTGCGAATAATATTTCGCAAGAGTTTGATGATGCAATTCGAAAAAGAAACTCTGACCAACCGCTGTAGACTCATTTATCGCTGGGAAGTGCGGCGAAACTGTAGAATCTCGCCTCGCGTTTCTCGGACTCGAAAACGGGAACGTGCCGTAATTTCCAATGTTCCGTGCGGCGAACTCCGTTCTGCTTCTTACACAATTTTCCGCGGGAAAGAAGGCACTAATTTCTAGGTCGAAGTACAGAAACCAATGAATTCCACTCACTAAACATTTTTATAAATTTTATCTCAAAAGTTCCAGCAAACGTTCATTCCGTCTTTCTTGCTACATATTCATTAGAATATACAGGGTGTTTACCAAGTTTCTGGTACAACTGAATTGGGGATGATTAATTTCTCTCATCAAAGTAGTGGGGGGGGGGGGAAAGTTCCTCATAAAATAATTTCGTTACACCCTATATACGTACCGTTAAAACAGAACGATCGTATTCTCCGTTTAAATTCAGGCGGAAGCAGAGGAATCCAGCAACGTCCATCGATTTCCAATATCTGTGCAATGGTGTAACGTTCAAAAAAAGGATTCAATAAGTTCCCTGAAGGGGTGGGGAACGAGTTTGTTGAAATTCAACTCCTTCTAATTTTCCCGCCTTAATTAAACGTCACGCCAGTCGTCCTGCGGCAGCTGGCAACGGAGTCACGAGAACCCAAAGGAGATTCGGTCGCGTGTGTCTCGCGTGCGTGGCGATTCTTTTCGTCGTATTTCATTTGGAACTCGTGTTCCCGATCGAACGAAACGGATAAATCTCGTTTCCCTACCCCACGAACGTATATTAACTACCGTTCGAGCGAAACACGGGGAGATTTCATAGAAACAGTCCCCTTCGAAGCGTGTCACCGCGAAGAAACGCCGTTTCACGGCCACGCAACTCGTGCTTTCCGCCATTGTTGCACAACAATGACGGACCTCGTGGTCCATGATATTTCATTTGCTCCGCGACGATTCAATTATTCGAGGTGTTTAAACTCGAAAATTTGAACGTTAGATGCAACGTAATAATTTTCTCCGTATTTAGAAGTGTGTTTTCATATCGGGTGACCGAAAATTTTCGATGGAAATAAGGAAAGTTTTGTTTATTGACAGATTACTTATCAGATGCTATTAATAGCTTTTTGGGTCTCTACGATCAAAAATCGAGGATCCATTAATACATAATTCAATCACAGTAGCAGGAATATTTTTGTACTTTTTAACAAATTTTGTTTGTAACCCTTTAACGCCCATACCTCTTGGAGGGAAAATATTCTCGATTGGTTAACTGAAAAATGGTTTCAGGTTCACGACAAAACACCTGGAAATATGATTTTCTAGATATCACGTACCTATATACGTCACATTAGGCGTTAAACTTCCCGTGCCTATGGCAGAGTCACCGGAGACCCATCGCTAATCACGGTCATCGAACTGTCTACATAACAATAAAAGAAATTTTTCAACGTGTCGTTATGGGTCACGATTGACCCAGCCGTTGATTTCGGTAGTTCGTACTCCATAGGGTAAAAAGAGTTTGAATTGTCTCCTATGCAAAAATCGTCCAGTGAAAAAGGATAAGCGTCGGGGGAGACCCGGGTTTTGCAACTTAATTTCGCGCCTAGGAAATTCTCACCTATTACGGATATTGGAAACGTCGGTTTCCTCCCCCTCCCCCTTCCGACCGTCTGCGCACGGCTCGACCCAGATTTTAATGGAAGACCGGTCTTCAGATTACTTCCGTTTCCCGTATGGAGCTTCTTATTGTCTGTCGAAATTGAATGAACGGCGGGGTGCTCGCGGACGAGAGCGCGTGAGTGGCAGGGGAGGGAAAAAAAAAAGAAAAACGGAATGGTCGTCCGATGGACAGTGACGAGCGGCGAGGATGATTTCCGCCCTGGCCGGAACACGCGATTCCCCTTGGATCACGGACATTTAATCTCCGTGAGGGTATTTCACGATCGTTCCTTTTCCTTTCGTATTAAGACAATTCGATCACATTTCTGAGGATATATTGCGATTGCTTCATTGTTGCTTTTTTATTGTCATTCTTACGAGTAATGAAAAGATTGTTCAAGGGAATATAGAAATGGGTAGATATTACAGTGTTTGCAAAGCAAACTCAACATTTTGCAAATCAAATTCACCCTTTTGCAAAGCAAATTCAATATTTTGCAAATCATGCTCACCTTTTTGCTTATAAAATTTACCATTTTGCTAATCCAATTCAACCTTTTGCAAATCAAGTTCACCATTTTAAAGATGGAATTCACTTCTTTGTAGGTAAATTCATCTTTGAAGGTGATGTTCATCGTTTTGCAAATCAAATTCAATATTTTACACATCAGGTTCATCCTTTTGCAAATCAAATTAGGGATTTATCAATTTTAAATTCCATCTGCAGAACGGTGAATTGGATTTGAGAAAAATGGCATTTGTAGTGCGAAACTGTCAACCACCGACTCAAATTACATACCATAAAGGCAACTAGGCATCATAAAATATGGTTGAAATTTTAGTTTCGAGTGAATTTTTGAAAATGCTTTTTTATTACTTTCTACTTCAATAGGAGCAATAGGGTAAACTTGATTTGCAAAATACTGAATTTCATTTGTAAAAACATGGATATCATCTTCAAAGGGGTGAATTTGATTTAGAAAAGGTTGCATTTGATGGAAGAAAGGGTGAATTCCACCTTCAAAATGGTGAATTTGATTTGCAGAAGGTTGAATTTGGAGTGCAAAACCTGTATTATACACTACAAAATTAAAATATTTTATTTTTGCCCCAAATTCCCAAGATTCTTCATTATTATCCGATCACCTGGTATCGTTGACTGGCAGGGACGTGAATTGGAACGTCCCTACTCGGGACAGTCGTTCGTGAACGCGGGAAAACTTCCGACTAATCGTGACTCGTCGACGATACAGGTGCAATTAACGACGCCGCCATAGGGCGTAATTAAACATTTAAGCGTTAATTCGCGGGCGACGGGGAACGATGTAATGAGTATGTCGGCGACGAGCACGTTACACGGTTTCACCGCCCGATTTCATTGGGCG